ATAATCTTATTAGATGAACACAAAGTTGATTTTGTACATGAGGGTATTGAGTCACGGCTGGGACCGTCTGCCTTCATAGACGTGATTCACGCACAATCTGAAAGTATCCATCTAAAGTAAAACCAGTCCAGTGCTTGATGCGCTCTGCTGGGTTTCATGCGCCCATCACTGCTGGGATTCCTGAACAGAAAGAGTTTGTCATTGAACAGATATCTACGTGTTTTGTCTTGCATAGACTTTAGAACAGTTAGCGTGAGAGAGCTGCACAAGGTGCTGTTTCAAATACAGTAGCTTTTATCATATTCTGCATTTTTATGATGGATTTTGGGGGGGGGGGGTGTTCTGAATGAACTTCCTGCAGAGAGAAGACAATACGCTGTGAGACGTGGGAGACAGAATGGAGCCGTCCTACAGCCAGCGGCCAAGCTTTCCAAGTCTCCCACTGCCTATAGGAAGAGATTTAAGGAGATTAACACGCCGGCATTAGCTCCGATACAAGCAAGGGATTGAATTAATTACAGACTTTGCTTGGGTTGTGGTGCATTCAGGGAGCGTAGCGTCAAAATGGCCCCCTCCACCGCCACCTCTAGTAAGGCTGGAATATGTTCAACTCAGCCTTCTGATAAACGCTCTATTTTTACCTTCTTCCTTGTTTCAGTCAAGCTCATGCTAATGTGGGATATAAATGGGTTTGATTTTTGTTTATTAGCCTCAGAGAAACTACTTAACATATTTAGCCTAAGATGGCCTCATTGCGCCTCAGTTTGGATGGTTTGTTCCTGAAAACGTTCCTCCAGCGATCAATAATCTCCTGAATGATGAGCGTAGAATCAGAGCTGTCAGAGATGACTGAGGGAACATTTCATTTCTTCATCAGATCATGAGCGACGCGGCTTTTGATGTCGTGGTCGTCGGCTCCTGCATGACTGACTTGGTGAGGTGAGTAAACCTGCATATCTCTACAATCATAGAAATGTCTGAAAGATGCATAGATTTGTTAGTTGGGGTCAACAGGAAACAGAATGTGCTCCAGCTTCTGTTTGACATAGATCTAACACAGAGTTCCCAGCATTTACATTCAGGGCTAAAAATAAAATCACTAAGATTGTTTTATAAAAATATGGAAAAACATGATATTTTATTAAAGCAGCAACATATTATCACAACAAACATTTATTACAAATTAAACCTTTAAATTCAGTATATTTTAGTTAATTATGAAAGAAAACCTGCTTTTAAGAGAAAAAAATTTACCATTAATTTAAAAGAAATAAAGTCATAAACCATTCTGAAACGTGGATAATGATTAGCAAACATCAAACGCATGTCAGCTCTGCTGTTTAACTGATTTATCTGCTATAAGGTCAAAGTCTGAGGCTGGGAGGCCTCCTTACCATCACCCTTATCTTTAGCTCACTCAGTCTCCATCTGATTGGAAATGGAACAAATCCAGAACTTTAATATTACTTCTAATCAGAGGAAACATGTTAGTGGAATTAGAAGAGTCCATGGATGTGAATCATTTAGGATTTCTGTTTATGATTCTGAGCTTTACAAAAGCACTAAAAGTTGCTGAAACACTGAAACTGGACAGCAGCTCCATGGTGGGGCAGTGGGTGGCTCTGCTGCCTTGCAGCAGGAAGGTTCCTTGTTGGATTCCCGGCCCGGGGTCTTTCTGCATGGAGTTCATGTTCTCCCTGTGCATGTGTGAATCCTTTCCGCGTACTCTGGTTTCCTCCCACAGTCCAAAAACATGACTGTTACAGCAGCAGCCATTCAAATGTCCTCACTTCCCATGATATTTCCCATAAGTTTCCTTTTTAAACATCAATCTTTGTTCTTTAATATTCTTTCTGTCAGGATTTGTGGACGTTAAGATCTAAAGAGAAGCGCCACCTCCTGGTCAGACCCTTTAATTCAATGAAAGGGTGGAGTTACAGTAAAAACAATATGCAAGAGGGGGGGTCACTGCAGTGGCTGGAAGTTAGAGGGGATTTTGCTGGGAGTTGCAGGGAAGTGGGCTGCTATTCAGCTGGAGTTTGACTGGGAAGCGCCGTTTGAATGGCTGCTACTGTTAGGTTAAATGCTTTCTCTAAATTCTCCTTAGCTGTGTCTCTGTGTTGCCCTGGCAACCTGTCCAGGCTTTACCCCCGCCTCCTGCAAATAGACTACTGGAGTTAGGCAGCGGCGCCACGGCGACCTGACGAGGACTAAGCTGAAGAAGATGGATGAAATTGGACAATTTCTTACTTCTTCGCTGCAACATGATCCTTTTAAATAAGATTTTTCCATTTAGCAGCTGAAATAAAAAAGGTTAGCTACCTTCATACTGTGGAAACTTATGAAGAATTTCTGAAAATCTGTTCAGTATTTAGTTTAAGTGTGAGTTTGGGTGTATCCTGTGATATCTGTGACTGTTTGGTGCAGATGCTTGAAATCATCCAGCTTCATTATTGTGGGAATCTGAAGCTGTAAATATAAGAAAGAAAACTACACCTCTGAATTTTATCAACAACCACAACCATTTTGTTTTTTTTCCTCCAGCGATTTAGTTTTGGCATGTGAAGCTGTGGAAAATCTGGCGTACAGACTGAAGGGGGTTTTCCATTTCATTTTAAAGTGGACCCTGTCGCAGGAATAGAGGAAGTGGTCTAAACTTAGACCAAGCTGCTGTTTTTTTCCTAAAAATCGTTTCAGAAGAATCAAGTGTTTGTCTCGAGAGCTTTGAAACAAGCTGACTCCAAATGTGAAACTTTTCCCGCTGCTAGAGCGAAGCTATGATCGGAGCGAAGCTATGATCGGAGCAAAGCTATGATCGGAGCAAAGCTATGATCGGAGCAAAGCTATGATCGGAGCAAAGCTATGATCGGAGCAAAGCTATGATCGGAGGAGCTGCAAACATTGTCTGTAAACCAGGTTTCAAAGATTTTACAGTGTGCAGATAATCTTGCATAACTGCTGCTATTGAAAATGTCAGCGTTGCATCATCCTGATAAGTGGTGAGATTTGTTGAGCCAAGTCGGATCCATTCCCACAACTGGTTAGTCATCGCCTGCACCAGTTGAAAACAAATTCTCAGGTCCTCGTGGGAGATGACACCTAAAAGCAGCTTTAATGTCAGAGCTGCAGCCAACTGAGTTTGGTTTTATTTTTTAAAGCTGTTTATGTCACGTTTTAGTGAGTTCCTTACTCATGAAAAACACATGCCCTCTCCTACTGGGGGGGGGGTCTTGCTTTGAAGGGCAGGAGATGTCAATTAGAGCCTTAATAAGCTTACGGAAAACAGCCTGGTTCTGGGTGGGAGGGGGAGGGGGGGTCAGAATCCAAATAGTGGAATAAAGTTTCAGCTCTTCAAAGTGATGCATCTGGCTTTGAAGTTAGAAATCCAGTCAGTAGTTTTGGGTCAGGAAATGTCCCGTTCTTCATTCAGCTTCAGACGCTCAGCTGTTGCTCACTCTGCCCCCCCCCCCAGCTGGGACTTCTTCAGCAGCAATCAGTTATTTCTCTGCAGCAGACAGACAAAAGGTGTAGATTGGCTCAGACTTTTAACCTTTTCTCAAAGACATAACAGCGCCCCCTGCTGACACAGCTCTCTGATCCTTCACAGTAAAGACCTTCTAGTAGTTGGAAGCAGAAAAGCACATTTTGTCGTAAAGTAAAAGCATTTTTATGACCAAATACCAGAAACCTACTACTTAAATACCAATTATTTTTATTTATTTGGTGAGTTTGTGTGAAACTCAAAGAATGGAGCTTTGGATGAGCGTACACTTCGATTAAGGGTTATATTTAATTTAGTCATGATTGGAATGACAGAAATATTGATTCCAGACTCATCTTGATTGATTATTTTTTACCCAGATGTGGGTAAAATACGTAAAAATTGTAATTAAGTCAGAGCAACAACTACTTCATCAGACTTTTACTCAAGTATCAGTAAAATTAGCAGTTAAAGAAATCAGTTAAATAGAAGTAAAATAAAGTAAAGGCTACTAAAGTATCGAGTAACTGGTCTACTTTATCTACCTGTGATCATAACAAAGATTTAATCTTTTACAAAATTATGTAAATTTGAAAAAAATATTTAGTGATTCACAATTTCAGGTGTTTTTAAAGAATAAGATAAAAATAAACACATAATATAGAGTAATAACACAGTAGAAAATGTATATAGAATGAACACTATTCAAAATAAATGTTGAGTTATAAACTAAATGAATACATAGAATATGTGGATTAGGTTAAATTACAGTAAACTGTGATTTCTGCAGTAAACTCCAAAGGATGCGGCAGAATCAGCAGATAGAAAACATTTAAACATTTAACCAAATGGTCTTTACAAGAAAAAAAGATTAAAATCTGTCTCTCAAAGATGCATATTTGTTTGAATAAAAGCTTGTTTTCATTAAGTGGTAATGGATGGAGTATTCAGATAATGTTAAGTAAATGTAAGTAGTTTCACCTTACAGTGATTTTATCAGCATAGTGAACAAATGTCATTATTCATCTTATTATATAAGTTTCTCTTTTCTTATTTATTTTTACAGAAACGCTACAGAATTTTGAGTTATCTTAACAACAGGAAATATCTACTGTCCCATTTTTCTAACTGAACGTAATCAGCTCCTCTATTTAAACAAAGCGATGCTCTGTCAGCGGGAAGATATTTATACTTTAAAAATCATTCAAAACATGTTTGCAAAGATATATGTTTCTAACTTTAATAACTCGTCAAATTAAATATTTGACTAAATATTGACTTCCTAACTTGTTAGTTTGTTAACCTGTGAGTTTCTTTTATCTTCTCTCACATCATTGAAGGTTTTGCTCGATGACTTCTAATAATTTTTTTGAAGGATTGAATCTTGATTTAAAACTATTTTCTGTTTCTAAACCAGGTTTAACAAACATAATGAATGTATTGTTTTCTAGTGTCTCTTGAATAAGATCTGCATGCAAACCTTTTTTTTGTCATCTATAGTTGTATAAATTGAAGGTTTTACAGTAATGCATGTGTTCCAGACAGTGAGTATCCTGATAAGTGGCTTATTATATGGCGCTATAGGCTGCCTCTGGTCACTAACTGCATGATGGCAAATTGCACGTGGCTCAGATAAATGGAGTGAAGAGAGAAATGAACGCCCACCTGCATGCCTATTGTTAGCAAAGCAGTTCATCGCTTGTCCATGTCGGGTTTCTTGAGTTTGTCCTCTTCTCCACCTTGTTCCAATTGTTCCGGAACCTCAGCAGCAGGATTCTATTATGGACGGGGCGATTATACAACATGGTTCAAAATCTGCTTTTTCTTTGTGTCGCCTAGATTTAAAAAACTCTCTATTGTGATTCATAATGTGAGCTAAAGGTCATTGCACTTGAATTAAATGACATATTATGCAATCAGGTAGTATGCATCCTGTTCTTGGAAACTTCAGCACAGGTGAAACCTTTAAATCTGTTGAGCTCTTTTTTTTTTTCTGAGCTTCCGGTCCGCGATAACGCCTTGGAAAGGAAAAGAAAGAGTTCCAGTTAAACTGTAGAAACAACCTTTGGCTTTGTTTTTGTACCAGTTTACTTCCCTGTGTTGCTCGTCAGCAGCTGAGGCAGGGATGGAGGAGAGGGAAGCGAGAGCCGGCCTAAAGCAAACACCTGACGTCACAGAACACCTGCTTTGGCCTCTTAGTTTCATGGGAGAAAACGCTCGAGGTTGAACTTTAGCGCCTCACTGGCCTGTTTGTCTGGAACATTCGCCACAGACAACAAAAGCCAAGTGTCTGTCAGAGTTTATGAGGTGTGGGAGGCTTCGGTTTGGAAATCTGTTCCTCTATCCTGTCAGTTGAAATGCTTCAGGTGGCTCTAAGCCAAACTTTACTCATTATTCTAAACCTAATGTCACTTTACCAGCTATAGAATAACGATAGAGGATTTATAGTTTATGTTACTGAATATGTCAGTCAGTGGTTCTATTATCTGATGCTTTAAGTGTTGTTCTTAGTTTCAGACTTCATCAAGCCTTTTCTATCATTTCACTCTATAAAATAAAAGACTATTATTTATGCTGATGTCATATTGGGTAAATATCGGTATCGGTCAAAACTCAACGCTTCGATATCGGTATCATATCGGAAATGTTTCATTTGTTTTTTATTATTCGTTGGTGCCGGCTCAAAGAGCCATATATAAAACCAGTTCTCTTTTGTTCATCTTGTTTTATTAGATTGGCAAGTTAACACTTTTCTCCAACTTTACAGTCATTTATCTTTGTTATTATTTTCAATGTTCAGTAGAAGTAAAATACGGGCAGAGGAAGCTAGCAGGCTGCAAATAAAAGCTAATGGGGGGGGGTAGTGGTTGGGCATTGCGCTTTGATCCCCGAGGTTCTAGATTCAAGCCCCACTCCCACAGACTGCTACTGTGGGTCCCTGAGCTAAGACCCTTAACCCCACCCTGCTCCCCGGGCGCCGCACAATGGCCGCCCACTGCTCTCCAAGGGGAGGGGTTAAATGCAGGGAGGGAATTTCATTGCTTCGTCCTTGTGACAGTTTAATGACAATAAAGTTGAATTCTATTCTATTCTATTGTAACGGAGACGCCGTGTCCGACCCAGTGGCTCTTCACTGCAGCTCCTCCTCTGGTCCTCTGGGCGGGGCCGCGGTCTGACCTGCCCTGGCGGCGCTTTCCACAGAGCAACAGCGTTTCTCACGCCCTCCGAGCTGAGCCTAGACACCCAGCGCTGTCTCCATTGAAAACACACGAGGCTGGCGGCTGACTGGTTGTTTACTTTTGCAGCAGTGCTGCGGCACTCGTGGCCACTAGGGGCGCTAGACGGGAAAGTTACAGATCTAGATCCCCTATTTGCCAAAAGTTACCTGAGGAATTTGGTTATGAGCTCGTTAATTTGCTACTCAGATTCCTGACTTTCCAGGGAATTCTCTGTTCAAATTTCTGCCTTGGAGGTTGGAATCTTCTCATAAAACATAAAACATTTATTTTTTTAAATCAGGTCCCAGAGTGGAACGCTGCTGTAATGTCTCAGTGCGTTCATGCCAGATGCATCCTTGAACATCCATCATGTTGTAGTTTATCTTCCTCTTTACCGCCATGTTTCTGTGTTTACCTCACATTAGCTGCTTTCGCTCGCCTGGAGTTTTAGTCAGTGCTTTGAGGGGCACAGCGCCACCAAAGGGCCTGGCATATGATCTACACCTGTATACACCTGTGTGGACGCAACGTTTTTTTTTTTTATTAAAATATACCATTTTAAAAAACGATAGAAAACGAAATAACAAGTCTTTGAAATGAATGCAGAATAATTATCTTTTTTCCTCCTTGAGTTTATTTTAGGTTAAATTCAGCACATCTTAACTTACCTTTGTGTAGTTTGTATTTGGTTAGCTCAAGCTAGTTTAGCATGGTTTAGCTTATATTAGTAGGTGATCAGCTTAACCCATCAGTTTACTTTAGCATATAAAAGATTTTTTAATTTTATTTTGCTTTAGTTAGCTGGGTTTTTCCTTACTTACCATTTAGCTTTTTTTTCTTAGTTTTTTCTTGTTTTGTTGCTTTTTGGCCTCAAAAACAAATATGAAAGTGAGTTAGTTTATGTTTAAGCCACAGAATGTTTTCACGCTTCCCATTAAGCCCCGCCCCAATGCCCAAATAAAGCAGAAACTGCAGTGAATTATATTTGCAATAAAATTAACATCAATCTTGTATGAATCACAAAACTACAAAATTCAAAGTGCAGTTATTCTAAGTTTAGCTGTTTATTTTACTCTGTAACAGAATTAATTGGAAATCAGAGGAACAGGATTAATTTATTATTGTTAAATAACCTTTAAAATTGGTATTTTATTTAATTCAACCAGGCTGCAATTACAATGCCCTCCCCTAGGGGGCGAGGGGTTGTGTCCCCAATTTTGGGAACTATTGAGCTAACCTCTGATTGTTATATTAAATATATAAAATAGTTTATCTTTACCCAGCATTTTTCTCCCTAAAATGAGCAAACTTCAGATGAAACATATTGTTAATATTTTCTTAAGACTTACAGAGTGTTTCGATGGTTGTATTATTATGCTAAATCATTTCACATGTATGATATAGTTTGTTTTTTTGTCTCCTTTGTTTTCCTTTTAAACAATTACTTTAAAAAGTAATTTTTAAAGTCCTGACAGCATAAAGACAAAATAACTAATTAAACAAACATATAAACGTTGGTGGAACCAAATGAGTTGGACAGTGGATTTTAATGGAGAAGGAGGTGTTTGTGTTTTCCTTCAGTTGCATCTCAGCCTCACTGACCGACATCCTGTTAGCTTGGGATGTTTTTTTCCTTTTTACAGGGTTTTCACACACTAATATAAAACAATAAACTGTTTTTTAACAAAAACAAACTGCTCTGTTACTGGAAATCCTGTGATTGATTACATTTACAGTAACAGCACACCTGTTACAAACATGTTCATACAGATGTGTGAAGAAACGCCACAGCATTGTGAAAAACAAGTTTATGACACCAATTCGCTGCCCACAATCTCTGCGGCCCGAGGCAAGTAGCGCCCAGGGCCAAACCACACAGTCCTGACATCTTTCTGTCATCTAACCCCATGTTACTCACCGCCTATTCCAGTCTGAATTCAAGGGATAGACACATCCTCCCATATCCATCTGTGGCATATCATGCTCAAGGGTAGGGTTGGACTTTTACCAACCAATGAGTCAGGAACTGCTGCTGTGGCCGGTAACAAGTTAAGACATCTATGAGATTTTCTTCTTGCATCATTTGCAAATTATGTGATGGCTGCAGTGTTATTTTCAGATCTATGTAAGATTGTGGTTCATGGTGATGCAATCTCCAAATCTACATAATGTCTTAAATATCTTTTCTTTGGTTGTGCTGTGTTCAATTTTGGCCTTAAATAACTTTCAGAAAACATTTCTCTCATTTAGTGCTCAGTAAGTGTCGTGTTGTTTGTTTTCTCCCATTAGCCAGACACCCAGGCTACCAAAAGCAGGAGAAACCATCCATGGTCACAAGTTCTTCATTGGTTTTGGAGGGAAAGGGGCCAACCAGTGCATTCAAGCCGCCAGATTGGGGGTGAAAACTGCTATGATCTGCAAGGTAATTTCAGCTGTTGGTAAATTAGATGAGTTTGATTTTTTTAAAATACCTCTTTGTTAATTTATGTAGAATGAAGTAGTTCTACTTTTCCCTTTTGGTGTCTCACTCACTACAAACCCCCAGCCATCAGATACCATGGTCCACCAACTTAACAACTCCAACAAACCTTTGAGCTTCGTTCCCATTCTTCAACATCAACTGTCCATGCCTGATTTTTTTCATGATCAATACCATAGCACATGCATTTTCCCCACCCACGCTGCTGCGCCTTCAAACAAGCCTATTCCCAAACCATACAACCCCGAGTCTCCAATCAGCAAGCTCGGTACGGCCTTTCAACCTAAGCACTAAAGCGCCAAAGCCCCACCTCTTTCAGAACAAAGAGGACCGATCGATAACAAACTAGTGCGGGAGGAGCTCTCCGGGCATGGGGAGAACCCAAAAATAGACACCCAGGCTTGTCAAAAAAACATCCAAGACGAAAGGCCGCTCTTCAAAGAGAACGAGGCCAAGCAGCCAATACCACCCCAACCCACCATCACAGCCTGCTAGAGAGGCTCGCATTCTGGGACGTTTTTTTAGAAAGCGTGGGTTCGAATTGGAAGCCTCAGGCCAAGGTGGGGACCCCTTTCAGAACCCCAAGTAGCTACAGATGTGGACATCCCAAAGCGATAAAGAAAAGAGGGAAAGGAGGGAATGGAAATGATAGCGAGGTGGGCTTGAAGAGGCGTTAAGGCGGGGTTATCGTGTCTTCGAGGCTTGGCGCAGCTGGTCGTGTGTTTGCGAGTGTGTGCATGTTTTGGCTTTTGTTTGTTGGGTGTTTGCACATGTTTTCGACAGCGGCACCATGCCAGTATGCTGGCAGGGCACACGAAAATCCAGCCCAACAGAGATTTGAGTATTTCACTTTTCAAAAGTTGCCGCTAACCAAGTCTGACCCTACTTGACACTCTCTTTGTTGAAATCGCTTTGCTCTCAATCTTCTCTAGGTTGGGAAAGACTTCTTTGGAGACAATTACATCCAGAATTTCAAGGACAATGATGTGAATACAGGTAATATGTTTTGTGGGTTTTTTTCCCAACACATGCAAAATTGGATACCATTTTCATGGTGTACTACAAAATGCTTCTTTTTAGACAATCTTTTGGATAAATCATTTTGTTACTTTTGGAAAGCACTAGCAAGTATTGATGTGGCCAATTATTGTAACCTATTTCCTATTTCTAAGAAAGCTGCTGTGTAAATATTGTGCTAAGCTCCTTGCATGGTGTTATCAGCCAAATGCAAACAAAGTAAATGGTTGGAGCTGCAATGCTAACATTGTGTCCTCCATACATTAGTGAGAAACATCTTGGCTTGGAATAGAGTGGAAAGACAAACAATAGACTTGTTTAAACATAGCCACTTTTTTCTGTCTTAGACTTTGTTTGGCAGACTTCAGATGCAGCCACAGGAGCAGCTTCAATCACCGTCAACGATGCAGGTAAATGGTTGCGCCGCTAACCCGTACTGCCCTGCTGAGATCCAAAAAGCTCTTTGAGTTGGAGAAATGATTTCATGCATGCAGAGCTGAGAGTACCTGTAGGCTATCAGCACTCTCTTTTCTTTTTTTTGTACTATAACACACACACACACACACACACACACACACACACTCACTACACAAGTGTGTGTCTCTACATTTAAGTATTTTCAAGAGATTCTCAGTCTGAACAAAAGATCTTAATTTATTTATTGCATGTTAAGTTTGTATTTTCTTCACAGGGTAAAGCTACATTTATACAGAATTTCTTAAATGTTACCTTTTTATTTAATTCACCCATAAAAAGAATTGGACTTATGCACATTAATTAAAAAGTGCATTTAAATAAAATATGTAAAAGTGCTTTAAAAAGTGTTCTGCAACCTTAAAACTGCATTTTTTTAACATCTCAACATCTTGAGTACATTTTTAAATATATTGATGAATTTTTTATTCTGTAACGTTATGATCATTGACAGGTGAATTAAATTAGTTATTTTTTTATTTTAACAAATAGAAATGGTTGAAAGTCCTGGATGTTTAGGGGAGATTTAGTCTTTAAGGTTAAGTTAAAAACATGATGGGATTGGAGTGAGTCAGATGATCTGTGGTGAAGCTCTCAGCGTCATGGATGAACGACACTAACTGAGCTGTGTGACGAGTCCATGATGACCTGCAGGCTGGGATTCAACCAATCAGCTCCTGCAGTTCTTCTTGCTGTAGATATTAGTGTCGGCTTTAACTAACCAAGCTGGTGTGAGGATTTATGGATGGGCCGGTGTGAGTGTGTCACTTACAAACGGTGCAATATAAGAAAAATATAAGAACCAGCAGGATGATACATTAAAGGTACCACACATTTTTTTAAATGCACAGCCCCATACCCGCCTCAGAGAGGGGATGCCTGCACTAGTCCATGTCTCCTGGTGCTCGCTCTGTTTAAAAGTGTCTGTTTGCATCACTCTTACTTTCCACTAGAAGATTTGCAATTTTCCCAGCATGTCAGACTCACCACCGGTTAGTGAAAATGGAGACGAACACGTAGGACGGCGTAAACCTATCACCAGAACGATGATAGGTTAGTTAGGATGACCACTTAGTTTGATGATCCACCCAGAAAAAGACCATCCTCAACAATATGTTTAATACTGTGATTGGAAACTTCCATGTTTAACATGTAGAGTTCATCAGCACTGCTGAGGACCGTGTTCACACTCCAACCGGCCTTTTTCAGCAGCATAACAAGAACAGTTAAAAATGGTTTGCTGTAAACCTTCTGCTTTCAGACGCAGATTTTTACATTTTTCTAATTTTAAGTGAATAAAAGACCGACTTATCCAGCTGTTAAATGGTTATTTATATGTTCCACACAGGTTGCATTATTTCTCAAATAAAAGAAGTAAAGATTGAATCATTTTTCCCAGTTTTGGTCCAAACTTCAGCTGCTTCAGTAGCAGAAGTAGCTTCACATTATCCCCTAGAAACATGTTGTATCCAGAGAAGGTGACATATTTACTGCATGGTTCTCATGGCCATTGGTGGAATTATAAACAAAGCATCACCCCTCCACCACCATGCTTTAAAGTCTGTGTAAGATGTTGGTGCCTTGTGTGGTTCCTTGCATAATTGGAGCTATAAATTAAAGATAGACGAAAAAAGCCATTCTAATTTATGTATATATATATGTTTGTGTGTGTGTATTTTATTTTATTTATTTATTATTTTTACAGTGTCTTGTCTAGCAATGTGGCAATAAGAATAATTGTCTAGATGCCAGAAAGAGCCCAACAGATTTTACTTTCACCAGAGGAGCAGTACGGCTATCGCCATAGTGATCAGCTTGATTTATGCATATAAATAGCTTTATTATAATCATGCAGGGAGTTTTACAGATTCTATGGACACTGCAGTGGAAGTAGGACAGGAAACGAAAAACAGGAAAAAGGAGAAAAGGTGAAAGAAAGAGGAGATAAAAGGGAGATAAATATAAAAACCTACTCTGTCGTTTTTACATTTTAAGTTTCACTTTACTTAATTTTTACATTTAACAGGCCACCAGAAACTTGTAGTTTAAAAAATGGAGGTTTTACTCTATTTTATTTAATTTCTGGAATGTCCATTCCTCAGTATAGTGGTGAATTTCTTGAATGTAATCCATTTAGTAATATTCTTTTTCACTAATGAATGAAAGACCTTAGAGTAACAGGCAGGACGCTGCTTTGGTCCAGAAACTGTAAAAGTCTTGCTTTATGCGTAGAGGTTCTTTACCTGCTGGTGATAAAGTAAACAAAGGCATTTAAATCACTTTTTGATTTCTCTTAAATCCAGTGGAAACATTAAGAACTGTTTTGGCTCAATGTTTGTTTTGTATGTGTTGCTGAATCTGCTGTGTGTCTTTGTACACATGAGGCTAGATTTAAATAATCTTAGTTTCTGATATAAAAACCCAGAAACGAAAGCAAATTCTTTTTGCTGTGTATCTGTGGAGGTCAGAGTGTGTTTCTGCTGTATCTTTAGTATTTTCATTTTCCTTTGCAGGTGAAAACGCCATTGTAATTGTGGCTGGTGCTAACATGCTTCTGGGTGAAGAAGAGCTGCAGAAAGCTCTTCCCGCCATCAGAAAAGCCAAGGTGTTGGTGTGTCAGCTGGAGATCAGTTCACGGACCTCCTGCCAGGCTCTTCAAATGGCCCATGACAACAAAGGTGGGTGGAAACATCCTGCGCTGAAGGTGATACTTTTAAAAATAAAAAAAAGGACACTTAAAGTTTGTGATGTACAGTCTAACTCCTAAACATTGGATTTATTCAACCTGCCAGATCTATGTTGTACGTTTTGAGTGTGGGGACCAAACCTTTGGTCTTCTAGGATGTTGGGACGGTGGAAATATTTTTCCCAAACACTAAGCTGAAAGGTCTAAAGGTATTTGCAATGTAATCCACTTCTCTGGTGGCCATCTGGGTGTTCAGATGTGAGTGTAAACACTACTTCTCTGTAAATCTTCACTGATGATCTGGTTAAGCCATTTTTTCTGGCCCAAGAACTTTTTTTTTTTTTAGGATGGGGCGGGGGGATTTTTGAAACTTCACAGAACAGAAACAAAGCGTTTTGACTAAAGTTACTAAATAAACCAAAGATTATTTCAAAAATCAATTATTATCACTAGGGGTGTGGGAAATAATCGTTTTGGTGATATATCGTGATATAATATTGATCTTTCACTTCTTAGTATTGATTTAAAAAAAAAAAATGGTTACATAAAACATTGAGGGGAAAATGGGCTACCTCTGCACCCCCACTCTGGCAGAAAGCGCTGTGGAGCCCTTTAACTGTGCGTGCAGCATTGAGGCAGTCACAGTGGAAGAAAACCCCAAACAACATGGATAATAATCAATATTTCAATATTTTCTGATGGAAAATATACAGCACTTGCTGTTTTATCTCATCATTTGATTTTGATAGCTGGGGAAAATATGGCAATATATAGTGATACTGCAATATCGTGATAATATCGTGTCGTGACCCAAGTATCGCGACATGTATCGAATCGCAACACTCATGCCAATACTCACCTCTAATTATCACTAAATTTGAATATTGCTCTTTCTAAGGTTTGGTCCAGTGAACTATAGCGAGAGCCTTTTGGTGTGGGTGTTGGAGACATGGCACCTTTCCTTCAGTGGTCGGCTAATGAATAGGAGGACATTAACGACTCATCCAGCAAAAAACAAACCAAAAACCTTAGAAACAGTGAAAGACTGCAGGCCTCACTGCCTCACTTAGGATCCATTGTCATGATTCGGCAATGAGAGAAAGACTGAGATAAAAAGATTTCTATGAGGATGAAAAAAGAAACAGCAGACAGAAAGGATTGCAAAAAAAAAAAAAGTCCTGTAGAACCGTGGAAACTTCTTTGGACTGAAAAGAAACAGTAGAGCTTTTTTTCCAGAGTGGCTTCTAATAACATCTGCATTTCAGAAATAGAGCATCAAATCACAAATGGAACAAGGCGGTGTTGGTGGGAGTTGCGTGATGCTGTGGGGCTGATTTAGCACCTAGAAGCTGTTCTGTAATTAACGAAGCACTAATAGAGCCAGTGTGACGCTTTGGCAATGTTCTGCTGGTAAACCATGGAGGCAGCTTTCCAGGGGATGGTTTGTTTCACATGTAGCTCTAACAGTCTAAAGTCCACCTGTTGGTTGAAAGTGTTCCCTTATTGCTCCGCATTAGTCCATAATGGCTCAGGAATGGTTAGAGGAGCATCCTGCCGGATACTACAGCGAGACTTTAGCGTCTATGCTTCAGTGAGTCAGCGTTTTAGGAACCTAAGGGTAAAGCTACGCAATCATTGACTGGTGGTCATAATGTTATGCTTTCTATTCCCCTGTTTTTATGGCCTAAAATTGTCACTTTAATTAAGTTCTTGCTTGGGACCCTTTAGCCTTTCTTCAGATCTCCGATTTTTCCTTGAATATCTTTGACATATATTTAATCTAATCAATGGTGGCGAAGAAAGAAATGATAAAAAATAAGGAATTTGTTGGTAAGTGATGTTTGATACACTGATGTTGAGGCCAGAGGATCTCCATTGATCTTTGTAGCCATGAAGTTGGGCTGTTAGAGGGAGAATTCAGGTTTCTTAGTTTTTTTGTGAAATCCTTACTTTTCCTAATGGGATGCAGTTAATTAGAAACGTGTAAAATAACACTTAAAATGAAGCAAACTAAGTGAAGGAAATTTGATATTTTCCACTGGACCGACTTTATGCAGAAACTAACCTGTAAAAAATAAAAGGATTTTCTAAAGCAATTTAAATATAACTTTTTATACCGAATACAAGCAGCAAATAACAGCGTCCATAAACTCTCTTAAAAAAAGGATTCTTCACCCTTTTCCTCGTCTTGGTACCGCAGCCTCCGCCTCGTCCGCCTCATCCCGCCGCTTATCTATTGTCATAAGGTTACTGAGTTAATCGTCTATTATTAGCTTCCCTCCACGTCACTGAAACGTCTCAGGAAGACTGTCACCCCTGTCATCAGGGACTGTCGTCCATAATCGCTCGCCGCAGGCTGCCAGCAGCAGAGAGTCGCAGCCGTAACCGTGTTGCAGATGGGATACCCAGATGGCCTCTCCATGCGCCCCGCCCCCCAGCCCCCGGCCACCCTCCGCTCCGTGTCAACTTGGCATGAAGCACCAGAAGAGATGCAAGGCGAGCGCAGACGTTTGGCGAGGATGCCGCCTCGACGTTGCTGCAGCAGAGCGTTGCGTAAATGGAGTTCTCTGGAGGAAACGGGTGTTAATGGGTTTAATAATGCGGGGGTGAAGCGACGCTCAATTTACGCAAATGTCACCATCGAGCAACACTCGCTGTGGATGCCAGAGCTTAGAAAGTCTGGATAACCTGTGAAGAATAAAAGTTTGATTTATGCCATTATTGGAAGGGAAAATATGCAGAATTATTCCCACCAACCATTTAGTATTTAGAAGTTAATAGAAAACACTCAGTTTTCCTCGTTCTGGATTCACCTCCACTTCCTTGTCTTAACAAGATAATGCTTTCTATTTCTCAGCAGATGCAATTAGAGCCTCTTTAAGCCCTTTCACAGACTCACTGCTGACGCATCTACGTGTGGCTGTGTGTGTGCTTGTTCCTGTTTCTTTCTGCCATTGTTCTCCATCCACCTTGGATGCTAAATCAACCACGTCAACATTTTATTTGAGGGGGGTTCCTTCCTAAAAAACTCCTCTGGCTGCTCTCTGGCTTATGTGCCACCAGACGCTGAAGGAGCCAAGATTAAAAAGCCCAGAGTCATGAAACACAAACGCAGCTGCCAGCCGTGACTCAGTGCTCACATATCCCAGAGTTGCCACATCTGTCCCAGCAGCTGTGAGCATCCTTCTGTGTTGGTTTGTGTGGTTTCATTAACACCTGGTGGAAAAACAAAGCAACCTGAGACAGACAGACGCGTCAGTCTGCGTGACGCGCTGACACCCCATGCATCACTGGTTTAGGGTTTAATTCAAGATTCTCCTGCTGGAAAAGTGATTCCTGCTGATAGATGTCTTGCATATGTATAGATGCAGCGTCTGCACAGTGAAGTCATTCAGATTTTTGCGTAGCAGCTGTTTGGTCTGCCAGTACAAAACATTTTAACCTCTTAATATCCACCATCTCTAGGAAATTCTCACCTATTTTACAGACCAAATGGAAAAGCAAATAACTGAGGAACTGTAAGGCCAACGTGTGATACGTTATTTGAAAGCTAACACCTTCTAGCTTCTGAACATATACATGAAAATTGGGTGCATAAAACACCCAAGCTGCATCAGTTCAAACATGACTCAAAGTTCTTTTTTTATTCTGGAAAATAAGTATTTATTTAACAGCAGTAATAAAGACATGCTTGCTTGTTGTGGCTGTTTTGTCACGTTACATTTCGACATGCTGCTATATCTGTGTTAATTGTGCTTTAGTGCTCACTGTGTCCATAAAATGAACCCGGTGGTTAAATTGTGGAGAATCTAAGCTTTCCAATGATGTCTAACATGTCTATATTCGTTAAAAATATAGACATGTTAGGCTGTGCATGTGTAATTTTCATGCATTCTCAGTTATTATTTGTAAAATGGTGAATTTTGAGAGGTTAATCTGATTATTGGAGGTAACTTGAATAGTACAACATCAGACTAAACCTCAATGAAGCAAATTTTATTTCACACATAGTTTAATAAGAGTTCACTCTAAGGAAATATGCTTAAAAGAACAAAATACGGTACGTATTTGAGAGTCATACAGCAAATGAACTAGTGTTGCACCGACACCAGTATGGGGCGGGGCCCCGATCCAGCACTAAAATGGTGGTATCGGTATTGGCGAGGAACCAACCAATACGGCACCGATACCATTTTGAGAACCAAAAGTTTCTTCAACTATTGTCCC